GTTTGGGGACTCAAATGATTCCGCGAGAATGTTTACGCTTCTTCTCGCGTAACCGAATAAGGAAAAAAACTGGCTGAAAACGAGGGACGGCATACAGCGACCGCTTATTAACACAAATGCCAGACATGTGCTGACGTTTGTGTCCGTTTTGAAACGTATATATGTTACACATTTTCTGTACGTCTCACGACAAAAAATAGCCAGGGCAAAAATTGTGCGATATAAGACTTGTTACATGCTAACAAATCTAAAGGCAATAAACTTCACTGGCTTAAGACAACTATATCCCAATACAAATACGCATTGTCGTAAAAAGGCCGTTTGCGGACTAGGTTGAGGGACAAAACCTGTTCCACTAAGAGTTGAAGCTTAATCTTGAGCTCGTATTCTCAGGTCACCGCTGGCTAGTAAGCGAAAAATGTCGATTCCGGCCTTTCTAGTATGCCGACACCCCTTTTTCGGGTATACTACTGCTTGGTGTGCGACTGTAAGTGAAGGTTCTAGATTAGATCTCAAGTCACAAATGACGAGCATGTTCCGTCTCTAAGTCAGCGATGGCAGTCCCACCATAGATTATACATGCATGCAGTTAATGCGAAAACTATTTCCAGCCTTCATGATTTTTACGTTTAAAAATGGACTTTTCATTGAAAATTCAGATATCCTTACATATATAAGTCATGTTATCTGTTTTAGCTCTCATTGAAGCCATTTCTTGGGGAAACCTTATTTACTAGAAAATCAAAGTTTATGCCGGAGTCAGCACTTTCCAAATAAATAACTATTGAACTTTTCCGGACACCTGTTGTTTAGTAGTCATAGTTCACAGACAAATAACTTTCAAGTTTCTTTAAATTATCCACAAGTACAACAGTCCTAGAGTTTTTAACCAATACACGCTTTTGATAAATTTAAGCTCCATACATGGAACTTAGTGCACTGATAATAAGATATCCTAAATGAGAAAAGCAATTATGTGAAATTACTGAATTTTCTCATTAAGGAAGATCACGGGTGGAATCACTTTGCTTCACACGACGACTTCCGTCTATTAATGAGAACAACGAACGGCCCAACTCCGAAGTTGAAAACATCTGCGGCTGAGCTGTAAGTAGAGTTGTCGTTAGCCCACCATTATCATCCCCTTAATTAGTCCCAATATGGCAAAAATTCAAAATAAAACGATGCGATCACTGGAACATTAGTTTATTGGTCTGACGTTTCGGATTTTTGTTGAAACCTGAGGCACTCGCAGATAAGGGTAGTGGAACCACAAGGAATGCAATATTTATAAGGCATCGTTGTCATGTCAACAAATGTTTAACTCAATAAGTAGATCTCGTTTTCATCGCTGGAGGTCGTCCGTAATGCGATGATTACTCCTTAGCCTGCGTGCGAATCGTTAATTGTTGTAATTTGATTACCATTTTCGATTTTTAACGTCAATATTACGTGGCAGTTCGGCTCGTAGTCTCTGGAACCATCGACCGCCTGTCTTCTGCCCGTGTGGATAATTACTTCGCATAGGCAAACTGGCTGTCCTGGGGGAGCCCTCAGGACTTCCGTCCCCTGTTTCCTCTCCTCTCCAACCCGCTATTCCTTCTATAACCCCTTCTCTCCTGTCCACAACCTCAACCTGCAACTACTTCAAACTCTATACCAGCCATGTTCACTTTCCTGACCGTTTTGTACTTCATATGTTTTAGGCATCAGCCGTGCCTTTGGTATGGCTACACGACGCCTTTGGTCTTGCCGGGGGTACTGTGCGAGTCTACATATGGCATTGGTTGCGCTTGCTCATCGTGCTTCCGTTCGCCAAGTAAGCGGTTGCGCCAACTATCGGCACCCGGGCCTGTCCGTCATACGTTCACTGCGGCAGTCGCTTGTAGTTTCCTCCTGCCTATCTCCCGGTCGAGTAGATGACTCGCGAGCTTGACGCCAACAACTGTGCACCCCTTTCTGAGTGGCTGAGGCACACAAAGAACTGGACAGGTGTGCATCGGATCCTGCGCGTATAGACGCACACCCACACTTTTCTGCAGACTCAACTGGCCTTCGTGGGCGGTGCTTGCGGTCACTCGGCAGCAGCTATTGTAAGACTCCTTTAGCGCAGTAAAGCTCTTGCTACCAACACTGTCTTACCTGATTTGTGATTTCGGAGACCTTCTAGTCGACACTACCACATACGACAAAGTCCCAGCACAGAATATGGGGGCGGGGGGTCATCGTGATTATTAATAGACTACGGGCCGGAGAACTACTTCGGCCTCGGTTCTTCGGCCCTGCGTAGTTTCAAAACTGTGTATCCAACATAGCTTAAGTACTCTTTTAATGCACCGTTTACGAAGCAGCTACCAATATGTAAATCAGAGGAATTACAAATGCGTAAGTTGTCAAGTACTGCCGTACACATTCACAATTTCTCATTAATTATTCACAACAGAATGCCTTTGTCAAACAATGATAATGAATAAAATGCTTCCCCTATCCTCCCCGCACCCGGGCATAGTTCAGCCACTGTTTAAA